CGCGGAGAAAAAAGCCCCAGACAAACATGAAGATGCTAGTGGTTTTAAAGACAAGAGCTGCAGCCTCTTAAAATCCCGCAGGCCTCGCTCTGCCTTGGATAAAACGCTTTCTGGGGAGATTGTAAATGTTTGCACTGGTGGACTTTGTTATAAATGGACTTGGTTTTGTTTAGTTGGTTAGGTTTTTATTTGGTCTAAAAGAAAAAAAAAAACCCACAAAAGACTGCAAGGCTGTCTTAACTGTGAACACCATGTTATCCAGAAAAAAAAAAAAGGAAGGAGTAAACAAGATCAGCCAGGAATTTAACCTCCCACTTGCCGCTCACTTGTCTGCCTTGCAGTCTCACCTAGGCTGCAAAACCCGTCCCTAGGCCATCCCATAGTAATCACTGCCGACAATGCGCTGAGCACCCCCTGGGCCTTTCAAGACTCAGTTTTTGCTGCTCCTAGCAGGTGTTACTGTGCCATTTCATAGATGAGAAAACTGAGGTGAAGAGAAGGGAAATGCCTGGGCTGAGTCACACAGCCAGTGAGCCTGGGGCTGGGATCTTGGATGCCAGGTGGACGGCCACAGCTGGTGGCTTCTGGCTGCCCTGAGGCCTGCTCCCCTCTACTCAGGGAGACCTTGGCTCTCTCCAATCCCATGGCCCTGGGCAGAGCATGTTGTTAAAACAGACTGCCTGGCCTAGCTGATTCAGGAGGCCTGGGGAGGGGCTGAGAATTTCCATTTCTAACTAGTTCCTGGTGGCACTGATGCCCCTGGTCCAGGGAGGGGGACACACTTAGAACACCACTATCCTGGGGAAACTGAAACAGCTCGTTTGCGCCATGGTTTGGGTGACTAAGGAGGGCTTCCTAGGTGGGTGTGGCACGCTAAGGTGGGCTAGGGGCTCAGGGCAGGAAGGGAAGCGGGCTGCAGAGGGAGGGAGGCACTCAGCTCCACTCATCACCCCGGAACAGGGAGGGGAGGCGGTGTAGGAACAGCCCTGCCCACTCTTCTGGAGCCGGCCACCTTAGCCAGGCGTGTGTGTAGCTGTGCAGGGTGGCTCTGCCTGGTTCTATCAAGCAAAAGCCCCAGCAAGGATGTTTTGTTTCCCACAGGCCTGGCCAGAGGGCCAGCCCCTCCTGTAAGCTTTTCTGGGGGAGGTGTCCTGGTTGGACAAAGCAGGGGACTTCACAGCACTGACAGTATTGAGGAGTGGGGCAGGGCCAAAGCCAGCTTTCCAGGCCACCCAGACTGTGACTTATCCCCTGGCTGCTGCAGATGGTCAGCCGGGCCTTACCCAGGCAGAGACCAGAGACAGACTATGTGCACACAACCCCCCCAGAACCCCTCATATTCCGTTTCCAGATGGACATGTCTTTGAAGTCACTTATCTTGAAGCCTGTCTCCTCTGCTCTAGGGCTTTGGGGTAAACGGCCAGCCTGTCCTTTGAGAAATCTCATTTAGATGAGTCTCTGCCCCAGTAAGCCCAGTGACCTTTAGCACCTCCAACTCTCAGCACCTTCTCTGAACCCAGCATTCTGTGGTTTTACCAGCTGTAACTTCACATTGACACCAAAGAGATTAAAACTCACTGCCCCCCAGGGGCGCTGCCCGAGGACCTCTGCACATGCCCTGATGCAGCCCCCTCCCCACCCTCAGGGGCCCTTCCCTGACCCCTCGTCCAGGATGTCCACCTTGGCATGTCGTCTCACTGCTGCTCTTAGCTCTCACAGCACAAACCACCGATTTCTCATGTCAGTGCCTGCTGAGCACAGAGGCCTTGCCAGCATGCTATGGGTGTGGTCCTGCCAGGTCCATGAGCTGGGGACGAAGGACTGGGTGGTGGCCTGAGCAGCTCAGGGGCATCTGCTGTCTCGTGGCGCCCTCTGGTGGCCACATTGCAGACACATACTCAGAAGTCAACCTTTCTCCTACAGGGCTGCAGGGAGCCAAGATGGTGTGAATGCGCTTGGTCCTCAGGAGATCTGTGCCTACGGAAGATCAGGTGAGTCGGAGGGAAGCCCCTCCATTGCACAGCCAGTAGCACTGTTACCAATGAATAGCTAGTAATGACAACATTATTAATAATACGATCATTGTTTGCTACCTATGGGTTCCTGAGCAACCTCTCTGGGCTTCAGTTTCCCCATCTACGAAATGGGGATAATAGTGAGAGTTAGATCTGAGCACAGGGCAGAGACACAGGAGGTTTTCCATTAATAAGAGCTCTCGTGAGTGTTTGAATTACAGCCTATTAGGCTGTAATTCACTGCGCTGCTTTCGACTCCTGGGTGTTGTCAGGGATCCTCAGCCTCCACCTTTCCACCTGTGAAATGGCCATGTAGGCCACACTGCCTCCCAGGGTCCTGTGGAGCACCAAGGAAGCCCTGAAGCAGGTCTGGACATGGAAGTGGGTTGGAAAGAGGTCTCCCGAGAGCAGGTCAGACACCTAGGTACCCCTCCTCACCCTGGAGAAAAAGGGTAGTTTATTCTTGGAAGATTCTGGAATCAAAGAATTGGGCACAGAGCAGGGGGTAGGGGTAGTCAGCATGGCCTCTGGGCCTTCTCCACCTGTCCAGAGCAAGCCAGCTGCCTGTCAGGAAAGGGCGCCCTCCACAGGCACCTGCAGGGAAAGCTGGATCCCACAGGCCTGCCACGTAGCTCGCTGCTGCTGTGATCAATACATCAGGGAAAGCTTCTAACAGGAAAGGGCCAGGGCACACAGAGAACGAGCTTGGGCAGAGGCTGGGAGAAAACAGAACTAATCCAGGATTCCAAGGGGAACACAAAACAAAACCCCAAGATGCTCAGAGGGAGGGAACAATGTTGCACCAATAAAAGAAAACCAGGATGCTGCTTCCTCAAAACGACGAAAGACCAGCAAAAAGCTCTTGAAAATTAAAACGATCACAGCTTGAAAAAAACACCCAAGAGAAGAGCTCGAAGACAGTGGTAAGGACGTTTTCCAGAAAACAAAGAGTGCCCGGTAAGAAGGAAGCCCAGAGGCTGGTCTGGGCAGTCCAACGTGCAAATTGTTAGTTCAGGAAGAAAGATGGAAGAAGGAGAGAACCAGATTCTCAAAGACGTTAACACAGGATGTTTGCAAGAAGCAGACTTAAAGGGCCCGCCAAGCACTAGCATAGTGCTGGGGAGAAGAGGCCAGAGCGCCTCCTCGTCAACTTGGAGAAACTAGGACTAAAGTGAGGCCAACAAGGGCTGCTTGAGATTAATAAAAAAGAAGAAAAAGGCAAGCTAGGTCACATACGGTGGGACCCAGAGGAGTGTGGATTCTCTCAGTGGCTGCGCTGGGAGGTGGGAGGCCGTGGGATGGTGCCTTCAACGTGCCGAGTGACGATACTTCATCTGGAATCCATGGTCTCGCTGAGCCATCCTCCCAAAGTAACAGGGCAGAGTGAGCCCCCTGAGGCCAAGACCTTGAAATCCTTAACGCTAATGTGCCCTGTGTACCAGGGAATGTGCTGCACCACTGGAGAATCCTGAGATTGTGGACTGAGCCCACTGTCCCTGGAGAAGCCAGGCCTGCTCGGCAGCAGACGGGGCAGGAGTGCAGAACTGGCTGTGCTGAGGCTGGAGGGGAGGATGCCCTCAGTGGGGGCCGTGGCGGGCACATGCGAGGCCATGTCCCCTCGCCTGGGAAAAGTGAAAAACTATACAAAAGGTTCTAGGACTCGGTTTAGCAGCAAAATATTCAAGTGTAATAATCTGAACCACGTAAGAACAACAGGTATGGCACACAGACGAGTGTGTGGAGGGGCAGCGTGTCCAGGCTTGACAGGAGCCCCAGGAAACAAGACTTCTCTGCACTGTAGACACAGTATCCCTAGAACCTTCTTCCGAAACTTTCCTGACCTCTAGGGAAGCTGCCTGTGCTGGTCCACCAGGCCTGGACTCCAAGCCCCTACAGCTCAGGCAGGCTCAGCTTTTGACCCTCCAGGCCAGATCTCATTGCCCCCATGTCCCTTTGCATCTTCAGGCTGTCTCTGCTTCAACCAGCAGTGAGATAAGGAGCAACATGGCTTCCACTCAGATGCTCCACAGTGTAGGGAGCACCGATCTCACAGCATCTGGCTCTGGTCACCTTTGCAGGTGACCCCACAGGCTGTGCTCTACTCTGTAGCCCAACCGGATCCATACTTAACAGAAGATAGGATTTGGCCACTTCCCACTGGACAGTTATTTTCATTACACATTTTAATGGAGACACAGTAACAGTGAAGATGAACCCAGGCTGGGAGCGGTGCCTCACACCTATAACCCCAGCACTCTGGGAGGCTTAGGTGGGTCGATCGCCTGAGCTCATGAGTTGGAGAGCAGCCTGAGCCAAGAAAGAGTGAGACCTTATCTCTACTAAAAATAGAAAAACTAGCCAGGCTTCATGGTGGGCACCTGTAGTCCCAGCTATTAGGGAGGCTGAGGCAGGAGGATCGCTTCAGCCCAAGAGTTTGAGGTTGCAGTGAGCTGTGATGACACCACTGCACTGTACGCAGGGCAATAGAGCCATATTGTTTATTATAAAGAAAAGATAATGAGAGAGTGAGCCAATATAACATCCCAGTAATTAGAATATAAGTAACTTTGCAGCAAAGTTCCGCACAGACACACAGGCTGAGACTGGCCCCAGGAGCCTCTGCTTCTGCATGTCCCGGATGCCACTAAGGACCCCGTGGGGCAGTGTATGGGTGGCGGGCCCTGACCTGCCCATCTGGCCAAATCTTGCCAAGAGGGTCCTTCACAGCACAAATATTAGAGAGATTTGGTGAATGTGTTAAAATCAAATTAGAGGTACCTAACCTTCTGGACTACAGAGATTATAAAAACTGTTTTTATTTCAACAAGCACTAAAAATGATTACAGGACTGTTTAGGATAAAGCTGAGTGAAAGGCCCTTCATCATGGGTGTTTTGGAAGCTGCAGAGGAGAGTGGGACAGTGGGGGTCGGGCCCACAAACCACAGAAAGAACCAGCCCCCACAACACACTGACAGGAGACCGACTGAGAACTGTCAATTGGTTACTTTATTTCATATAAAAGTTACATTGAAAGAAGAGGTTTAAAGGTCAAGTACACTTGATTTGCAGACACTCGCCACGGCTCACAGGAGTCAACCACTTCAATAATTTGTTTTATTGATAAACAGGATATACATATGAAAAGCCTCACAATGAAGCCCGATACACGGTCCAACCCAGACAAGGGCTGTGCCAGTGAGTGTGCAGAACAATCTCTGGGACTCTGTCTCCTGGACCACAGTGTGCTCTGTCCAGCTGGTGTGACTCAGTCCGTCCTCTACAGGGACCGACTTGATCCGCATCAGAGTCCTGCCGGCTTGTTCACGTGGCTGCACTGGGTCCCAGGAGGCCCCTCTGTGGTTTGATCAGCAGTGGTGGAGGCCCTGGTTACGATAGGGGACAGAGTGACCAAGAACAAACACAGAACAGTTCACAGAGGAACAGAAAGGTGAACAGGCCCTGGAGGGAAACACCAACTTCTCTAAGCGTGGGGGCAGACTCTGAGGAAGCCCCTCAGACTCTGTCACACAGCGCTTCTTGATGTGACTGGCAAAAAAAAGTACAAACCAGGCAAGTTTAAGGCAAGTCCCCAGGAGGGGAGCTGTTTGTTTTCTGGCGTAATTGTAAGCTCCGCACCAAGGATCCCATTGTACCCCTTGTGCCATGGGTAGAGAACAGATGCTGACCCAACGTCTGACAGGCTGCTGCCCCCTGGACCGAGGCACGTACAGTCACCCGTGCTGGGGGCTGGCTGCCCCACGGTCCCCCAACCTTCCCAGAGGGGCCAAAGGGCCAACCCCTGCCTCCCCCGTGTTTCCCGGCTGACGTGCTGGCCCTCCCCACACCGAGCTGCACAAAACCATGAGATTCTGCTCTGCTCTCACCAAGGTGCCATTCACACGCTGCTAATTTGGCTGGAACAACAAAAAAATCATTTCTAAGGCCCTCATGCACCCAAGATTTTTAAAATAAAATTAAAACAGGAGGGCAACAAAGGACCGCATGGGAGTGATTGTTCTTTGGATCAAGACACTCTCCAATATACAATACATTCATAGTAACCCACGGGGAGGACCCGCGGCACCTCTCCCCTCTTCCCTGAAACATCAGTTTCTAAAAAATAGCTTGTTTGCTGTACATAGCCGATAAATGTTACATTGTCTAAACAATACTGCCAGTTTGGACACACATGCACACAGCCCACATACTCACAGACACGCACACACGCGCAAACTTGCGGAAAGGGTCAGAGGACGCCTCTTCCGGGCAGTGGGGAGTGCCCCGAGGCCACCTCACTGTTCAGTGCACGGATCCTTTGCAACTTTAGTGCAAAGTGTCAGAGCAAACGAGACCAACGTCCTTCTATGCAACCCCCCTGCTGGGACCGAGGGAGTGCACTAATGATCCAGGGTGGAGAGGGGCTCCCTGGAGTGACCGCTGGAGAATCCTTGTTCACTGGATTGACTGTTTTTTCTTTCATGAATGAAAAAAGCAGCTTACAGCACAGGATTTTAACACCTATGTAATATCCCAAACAGCTTCTTAGAAAATGCAAAGTATTCTTAACAAAAGTCCCAACTGTGCAGAAAGGAATGACCTTTGGCGTCTTCAGTGGCCACATACCCTGCGTTGGCCGTACAGGTGGAACTGAGGAGAGCCTCATCCAGTTTGGAAAGCCTCCCATCTGTGACTATAAATATATAAAACTCTGCTTGCTGCAAGCAGCTGGCTCGTGCGGTTCTGCTTGCCCTGCCACTTGACATTTGTTAGCAGGTGCCAGCCCGGGGGCCTCACACGGAGAACTCTGGGCCTCCTTTCCTGGGTCTCATAGGCAGTCGCCTAAATCGGAAGCCGACGAAGGGGTTCATCCAGAGGAGTGAAGGGGGCCCCCCAAAGACAGACTTCATCCCTTCCCATCGCAGCCTCCGCTCCCACGTGGGCTTCTCACTCTTCAGCCTCTCAATCTCCTAGAAGCAGAAAGGAAAGCAAGTAGTGCCAGCTCTGCGGACCTTGACAGACACAGGCAGGACCCACGGAGAGACCAGGGACACCA